TGTTTCATGACGGTCACATCCTGTGACTTCTTACCAGGTCACTTCCTGATACCCCGTGATAACGCGTTGACCAGCTGTAATAAAACTACAGGCCATCACACTGTTCTTTTCTCTTCCCTCTTCTCTTCACCCTCACAGCTCTCTGAACCTGGGGTGGTCTGCTTGGACCTCCTTTCACTGACTGGTTCGGTAATGTACTGGGGATACTGTATATTAGATTTGGGTAGCTTAACGGCTGTTATATCTGTTTTGCCTTGAGGTTTTATTATTGTAATCTCTATGGTTAATGCTAGGGCACTGTGTAACCTTAGGTCTCAGCCACATCACAAGTTGTATTAGTTAACGTTAGGCTCCACACAGACACAGTCTTTGCATGCAACACAACACAACACACACGTAGAGAGAAAACTTAAACCTCCCACTTCACGTTTCTTAGTCTCTGACATAACACTTGCATATGGTGTGTATATCAAAGAAACAGACACATTCCTTCAGGCGTACACCCACACATGCATACCCTCACACACATATATGCACACACTCCTTTGCAGTTTAGTTGAGTGTATTTAGTTAGTTTCATATTGTTTTGTTTTTATTTTCTCTTAAAAGGACCGGTGTGTAGGATTTATTGGCATCTAGCATTGTAGATGCAGACTGCAACTCCCTCACTTCACCTTCCCTTTCCCAGTGTGAAATCTTAAGCCACAATAGGTTTGTCTCTTCTGGGCTACTGTAGAAACATGGAGGTTCAACATTGCGGTCTCCATGGAAAACAGCTACTAATGAAGACATAGTTATGCATATTATATTCAATTTCTGCGAATAGATCCCTGTCAATGTTACACAATGGACCTTTAAAGTGACGGCTTGTTCTAGACAGAGGATGAACTGAGGGGCTGTATGAAGGTAGTGTGCGAGTGTTAGACAAATAAGGATGATTTTTGAAGAGTGAATCATGCAAATGTACTCTAGTGGAGTCTCAGAAAATTGAGCTGGAAATGAGCATAATAGGTCTCCCTTAATATTAAGTTATTATTTATCATTATCTTTGATTATTGAAGATATTTACTTGATTGCACCTACACAATCCGGGGCCCTTTTAAACCATTTTAATCCCTAACACAGTTTAGACCATAGGTACAGTAAATACTTGGTAAGTAGTGTTTAAATGATGTGATGCATGGCTGCTCAACTGATCTAATCAAAAATGGAAAAAAATCAATAACAATTCACTGATTTCTACCTTCAAAAGACCAATACACTTATATTGTTGTGGATATTATGAACCACTAACAATTGGGTAACCTGTAGATGTACTGATACTGAACACATTGATATAATTGCCAATAACTATTAATCAACTGCAGTCAATTTCATCCAATGACATTACAATCTTTAATTACAAGTGAGATCAACCTTACTTCAAATCTGAAAGCACATCGGAAATGTGGTCAAGTGTTTGCTAATAGAAAAAAGGCCCGTCTGCATTAAAGCTCTCACATATTGACTGCCTGCCACAGTCATCTGTTGGGAAAAATACCGGAAATTATTCATTCAGACTGACGTACATGAGGAGTGTGAATGGCATTCAGCTAGTACTTCATGTTCTATAGAAACGGATCTGGAGGCGAGCCAGGCCCTAAAGAGGCTATGATCACAGTGACAGTGGTGAGAAAAAACATAGGAGAGATCTATTCCACTGGTAAACATGAAACACAAAGGCTTGGTCACAGCAACAGCATGGGGTGTGTTTTAGTTTCCACCTCCTACACACTCATGCATTAAATATGGTTCAACAATCACACTCTCCAATGACTCTCAAAACCTTTACTTCCCGCTCTCCAACTGAACATTTCCTGGGGAATTCCGACCAGGAATGTATTCCTGATGACGGAGCAACTGCAACAGCTGAGAGGAAAAATCACTTTCTAATGAACAGCACGGAAACATAGTTGAGGCATTGTCTGTAACAATTGCCCGTTTCAACACTTTGTGGATCAAACTACTTACTTGGGAATGCATGACCTTGTTATTGTTATTTATGGAACAGTTTGATATTTCTCTCTGGGTTGCAAAATTTGAATGAACACTAGAAATATTACATTTCAAGACCATGTTTGTGACTTGTGATTCCAAGTAAATTGGGCGCTGAGTTGAAAGTGTGAACTAAAGTTGTTGTAGCAGAGACACCCCTAATAGCTTCCCATAATACAGAATCACTGTGGTAATGGCCTCTTCAGTAGCTGGCAATGAGTGGGAAAAAGGCACCGTTTAAATAGTGCTTGGTTTTAATTACCACTGCAAAGCAAAATTGCACTATTTAATATTTCAAAAGCTTAGACAGGAGGAAATGTAGAACCATGATGATATCTAGAAATGTGTGCTACTTTTTAGTTTGAAACTTTTCTGATATATTTTGGCACAGGCTCACAAATTTTACAAAGCTTTTATAACCTTGGGTCTTGTGAATAGCATCTAGTGTTTTGTTTGATGGAACACTAGGCCTTTATCAGTTGCCTCTGGCAGATGCATGCTGCATATGAGCTTGTGACATGGTGTTGCTGTGATCTAATTATAACTGTGTACCGTGTTGTGGAAAAGCGTACAGTACTCACTGTATATTCTCAGATTGGGAAGGTCTCCACCTCAGCATTAAACATGGGCAAGCAAATGGCTCATATTGTGAACCAACAGGTGAAATTTGCCACTGCTGAGATTAACATAGCTTCAGTATTTCAGTATTACTTCAGTACAACTGCAAACATTGAGTCCATCCATAATGAACTAATAGGTGTATGCACACACAATGAGCAAATCTTTAGTCTAAACATTAATACATTAATCCTACACACAATCCAGCTAAATTCCACTATAAGGAAAGATTTACACACAAAAGCCTTTGCAGCACTATGTAATCTGGAGATTATTCTCTATTGGCACATTGTGCCATTCCACAAATCTTTTTTCTAGATACTATAAGGCTGCATGTTGACATACATTACAGATATAGGTGGAATATAACTAAAAATCCACAAAATATGGAAGTCATCATCTTTATAATTATATAGCTCATTCATTAAGGTAAGTTAAAATCAGAACATGTTTGCATTAAGGTAAATTATTTCTCATAACAGAAACATTTCATAGCGTTAGTAGTTCTGTAAGGATAAAGCAATTTACTGAGACTTCTATTCCATCACACGTGAAGCAGAGATCAGCACCAAAGCAAAATGGGTGATGCTTGACACCAACTGTCAGCATCCAACCTAGTTAGTTTGAGACACTGTATACACTGTAGGGGCTGTACACTTTTCAGAAAGACTGAACATGTCAAACCAGGTTGGAGCTATCTAGCATTTAATTGGTACTTTATGCACATCAAGGTATAAATGGAGATATCTATATGTAGAAATGATACAAATTTATTAAGCAAGATGCAACAATGCTGCTGCTATTGAGGAGCCCATATATAATTTCTAACCGTTCCTACAGTGTGGTTGGTGGATGCTTTTATTCTCCACTCACTGGTGCCTTACAGTACCAAAGGGAGTACATTTATGGGTACTCCCAGTTGGAGTCAGGCCCCTAGCATCCTCAGTGGTGCCTTACTCTAAAAGGCATCCAGAATCGCAGCTGTCTGAATCATGCTGATACAGCATCACTCAGATAAAACATGTCACTCCTCAATATTGGTTTGCAACCCCTCCTCACGGCATGAGTATCCTTGAATTGACCCTTAATATCCGAGAATATGCCTCTCACAGAAAATGCTCAGCTGTAGCTCTGTAGAAGGGTGGGGTGACATTTTTCAAACAGTTGGCCAAAAGCTTCTTCAGTAAATGAGAACGTCAAAATAGGCTGACGTGTAGCTAATGTGGTTTGGCATAGTGAGTCAGCCTAACACTAATACATTTGTTCCACAAACTAATGTACTGTATGTTAAACCAACCATGGAAAAGATGTATAGGGGTTTACTGTGTGGTCTGTTCACCCCACAGTCACTGTGTTGGAGTTACAGTTATTGCCCTGTACCGGTGTGAAACAACCATAACACCCATCACAAGTGCAGCACATACACATCTGTATCAAGCAGCAGGGCGGCCTAGTGGGTTAAGGAGACATGTCCTTCAAGTCAGGTGGTGCACATCCTCCCTGCTGGTGTCTCGGAGAGAGTAACAGAGCATGCACTCAAGGCTCTGTAGGTGTCAGGTAAAAGAAGGAATGTTCCTACTGGGATCCATGAAATTTGATCATAATGAAGATTTTTAATCATTTGGGCAAAGGACTACTGGGCTTCAGCAGTCTCAACAAACTTGACCAAACTGACAATTATAGATTATCCCCTGCCTATTCTTCCCACATTTTTGTGTCAGCCTACTGTAAATCATCCGTGGTTACATCACTGCATGCGCACTACTGTCTCACATCGTCAATGTAGCTCTGATGTTGAGCCGATCCAGATAACATTCAGGTCAAGTCCAGTTACAAGTTACTGTACAGCACATTTCTTTGCAGAGCAGCAAGGATGCTGGAGCTGGGCGGCATTAGTTGCATATATAGCCCACTTCTAAGCACAAAATCCGACCAATCCTAAATACTTAACATGCAGCAACAACGCCAAACAAGTAGGTCAGTGAAACATTCATCTTATTTCCTCTTATCTGTCAATGTCAAAAGCAGTCAGTCACATATTAGGCGAAGAAATAGACTTGACAGGCTTTTTAATAACGGCACCAGATGAAACAAATCGACTGATGTTAAATCCAAAAGGAAAAGCAAGGAGAGGGCGAAGTGGAGCACATCACACGGATCATGTGAAAAAGGTCGTCTGCAGGCTGTTAATATGAAATGTTTCCAGCGCTTCTGCTGAGCCAAACATCAAGCGGTCCGCCTCCGTGTAGTCAGCCCGTTTGGGGAGGAATGGCACCTTGAGACAACAGCGCCAGGGTTTTAAACACACAGGGGAAAACAGATAATAAAAAATGAAGGCGAAATCCTACCTGATGTCTGTCACTCGTTAATGCATGCGACCTGGCTTTGGATGTAGGCTTGGCGACACACAACGCAAGCGGGTCAGCTCAGCTTGCCTGCCTGCCTGGCTCCTCCACGGCATCAAGCCCCTCCTCGTTTATCGTACAGTGGAGAGGGAGATGGGGAAAAAAAGAAAAACGACCGCATATCTATGCGCCGAAAAGAGGAAGCGGCGTCACACTCACCCATGGATTCTGATAACCATAGAAGGTGTAGCCGGATCGAGATACTGAAAGGCTCAGGAGTAGGTTGTTGATTCAAACGAGACAATTGTGTGCGATCACATAGACCCGCAAATCCTGCAGCCGAAAGACGGACGCACAAAATGTTTGAATGACTGAGTGCGCTCTTATTTTGAAAATGCTTTGAAGTAGGGTTACACCTGCCAAAAGCGAGTCAGCAGACCGACCATCAGTGGCGGACGGGCCGTGTTGCTGTGCTTTATCCCACTTTGACACAAGATCAATTGCACATGGAAGATGATGTTGTTACTGGGATCCGGTCTACAGCAAAAAAATAAATAAATATATAACACAATACCAGTGAATTTCAAACTAATCGAGAAAAGAACATGTAATCTGATACGGCTTTTTGGAAATAATGCATGGCTGTTATGGGGGGGGGGTTTGCAGGTGAGACGATGGATTTATAAACCATGTGCTGTACTTCAGTGTTTAAGGAGGTCAAATTTGGTTAGATGTACAGTTTTGCAAATAAAAAATAATAATGAGTATATTTAATGCTTTACATAGATTAACATATCAATTCATCAGTGGGTGTGTTGTTTTTTTAACCTGAGCGTATACTGCCCCCTAATGGAGATGTTCACGTATCCCTGCAAAGATAACAGACGCTTGAAGAAGAAGAGAAGGGCCTGGATGGTATTGTCAATAGTTATTAATATTTATTAACTGGTTATGAAAAAGTCTCAATTTAAGACTGGTTCATCTTTATGACCTACATAAGCAAACAAGGCCATCAGTGGGAAGATTCCAATTGAAATCAATGAAACACTGTGATGGAAACAGTGCTACTTTCGTCCACAGGGGCCCCCAGAAGCAATACAAAATGAAAGTTCCTTGTAGGCGCTGTCTCCCTGGTCTGCCTTGATAGTTTTTCTTGGCTCTTACTTCCCTCCTCCAAAAAATGCAGAGCTGTTTCCTAAAATCTATCTCTAATCTCTTGATGACAACAGACAACAATAAACGTCTCCTCCAGCCAATCAGTGTGCATGATGTATTAAATTAGGTAAAACTGTATTTACGGTTTAACTAAAATATTACCAAATAGATATTTAATAAAATTGTTTATTTTTCTTATATCCTCTTTTCCTCAGATTCATTATATCCAACACAGGTCTGAGAGGTACACTTGAATTACTGATGTGACTTGAACAGTTTGGAAAACATTTCTGAGAAGTTCCACCTTTCAGGACACTGTCCTGGTTTAATGTTAGCTGTGACATCATTCTGTCATTTACTGCCTGGTAACACATGGTAGCTAAGTTACTCCACTTGAACCTTGGCCAGGGCGGAGTGGAGCTTTTTAACAGGTTCCCTCCGCTTCAAATGCAGAGTGATGGAAAGCTAAGGGATGAAGGGGACAGTCCTTGCTGTGTGAGCATCTTACTGTGACTTACTGTACTCTTACATGGGGAAAAAAAAGCAGAATTGACACAGGATTCTTTCTTTTTTTTGTTCCAGTACAGGCCCACCCTAAAGCTTTCATGACAGCTTTCTGTCATGCATGTTGGTGATAATTTCTAATTCAGCTGCTTTATGTCACACCACAAGAGGGTAGCACTGACATGACAATGTTTCAGTAAAGGTAGAAGACATAAGGAGCAACGTTCAGTTTGACTGTATATGAATCAATGTACTCATTGTCCTTTTTAACGTGAATGTTGACCTTTCAGAAACCACATAAAGATAAAGAGACATTACTGTGTGAGCTATCAAACACTGCACTTATTCAGTAATGGTAAAGTGTTGCAATGAATTAATACACTATATTCACTATATATACATTGTTCACCTCAACAAGATGTGATTTTAACTTTCCCAGGCTGATTGACTGGGACATATCTATGTAATACAAATTCCATCTCAGATTTTCAAAGTGAAGTGATGATGCAGCAATAAAATGTTGTCAGGGTTTCAATATTGATTTTTTAAAAATCTATTAAGTACTGGAATAAGTAAATAATGGAATAAACTAACACCAGAGGGTTCAACTAATAGGACTTGCCACATTCACTTAAATGCCACAAAGACTTCAGAAGCAAGTTATTAAACCCTGTAAGCTGACCTGTAGCTTTCCTAAACTCAGTAAAGCTAGGCCATTTTTTTTCCTTGAACTTTTGCCTCTAAAAGGGACACTAATTTTTTTTAGAATTATTATCTTATCAGATCACCTTGTTCAGGTGCACACAAGAAGGTCATACACACCATCCAATTTAAGAAAACAAACATGTGAATTAAAAGCCTGCCATTTGTTTCTGAACTGTTGTTCCATAGTTGTAGTAAGCTTATCTTGCTAAACAGTACAGCGGCTACGACAGGGGCTTTGAGGTCTGTTGTGGTTTGGATATTTCCATGGGAACTACAAGGAGAGAGGGAGGAACCTGTTTGAACCACACAGGGGGCGTGTGTTAGATTCACTGGGTTCTTGCCTCGTTTAAACTGTCTGCGTCTCTCAAACAGCCACAGATGTGCGGGTCTTGACAAGAGAGAACCTCCATCTGCTGTGAAGAGAGCCTTGGAGATTTCTCACAACAGCCTGAACTTTTAGCTGGATCTATCAGCCCATCCTATTCAGGATAATCTTGTGGATTATTCATATCTTCAGAATATAAGGTAAGTGAACCTTCCTGCAAAGTTAATATTTGCAGATATTATGACCTGATTTTCTTTCTTGTGTGTGTGTGTTTGATTTCAGAACACAATGCGGCAACTTACAATCATATCCTTTTTATTTTACAGCCATTTCTAATTTCTCTCAGTGGACCCATGTGGGTGGTGGAGAAGATCCGTGTGTCAGTGGAGAGATCTAACCTGCCTATTCCATCAGCAGAACTCAGCTTTAAAATTGGCGACATCATGTTTGGAGAAAAAAGTGACAAACTGAAAAGGATTTCCCTTTGTCCTAATGTCATCACCCCTGACAACATCCCAGAGTTCTGCATCCCCCCAACAATCCCATCCATACAGGAGATGAAGAATACGGAGCAGGGCCGAGCTGCTCGCTTTATCAAGGCCCCTCCCTGCGAGAGGGCTAGCCCTGAAATAGAAGTGACACGTCATGAGCCCATCAACCCGCACATTATCCAGGTGGAGAGTGTGGATGAGGGCCCCTATGATGGCTGCAGTGATGAGGAGACCACCAATGCAGATCCCCAGAGCCAGGCTGCCTTATCCCTGCCACATCTGGCCAAAGCTCAGACCTGCTATGGTTTTTGCACTTTACTGGAGAGCCCCCACACCAGGAGGAAGGAGTCGCTCTTCCACTCTGATCCTGGCTCCTCTCCCCTGCTGCTGCCCAGGAGTCGATCCAGCATGTGCTCCAAACTCTCCCCCTCCACCTCGCCCTCCTCTTCTCCATCCTCATTCAGCCTTAACACCCTAACCTCCAGGCTTTCCCCGAGAGGGTACACTCTGAACTGGCAGGCCACTCTGGACAGCGATACTACTTCCTCCACTGAATCCTCTCCTTTCAGTTCACCATTGCTGACCAGGTGCCCTGCCAAGTCTTCCCTCTTCAAAGCACTGAGCCATGAACTGCTGTTGTCAAGGAACATGAGGAAGGCAATGGTGTCCAGGAACAATTCCCTGTCCACCGATGAAGGGAGCTCCACAGACAATAGCCCCAATGTCATGAGGAGGGCATCAGAGGGGTTAGTTGAAGGCCTGCCCAGCAGCTACAGCCTGGCACCGCCAACCATCTTCCCCATGGACTTGACTCTGCACAGAGAGAGGGTAATGAAGGAAAGAATGGTACCCATTGGGAAAGATGGCAGCCTGAGACTCTCAGCAGAGTATTGCCCAGATAACCAAAGACTACGGGTTCGACTGATCAGTGCCGAGGGCCTTTATCCTCTCTCTGTAGACCCCAAGATTATCAACTGCAGCGTTAGCCTCTCTCTGGCTCCTGGAAAAGTCCAGAAGCAACGCAGCACAGTCATCAGAAAGAGCCGTAATCCTATCTTCAATGAGGACTTTTTCTTTGACAGTATCTCAGAGGAAGACCTCAGTCAGCGGTCCCTTCGCTTTAAAGTGGTGAACAAAATGTCCACCCTGAAAAGAGACTATCTCCTGGGTGACTGTGATTTGCCAATTTCTAGCATTGTAACATTACAAACCTAAGTACTTCCTTAAATGTTTATTTATGTATTTGAATGTTTATTATTTTTGTATTGTCCAATTAGATTTTATAATAATTAAATTATGGGAAACACTGAGATTGCTTGTCTTGATTGTAATATCAGAAATTGTATCAATATATATTTTCATAATTCAATGCTCAGGATAAAGTTAATTTCAGAAAAACAAACACACTAGCAAAAAGTTCATCCTCATCTTATAATTGGTTTAAAAAAAAAGTTACTATAATGATTTAGTCTTTTCATTCCTTGGTGTGTTCATGTGGCTGCAGCATCTGCTGGCGTGAGACAACTGCCGTCTCATATTTCTCCTAAGCCTGTTGTTTTCTTCCTGACCTTTCCAATGATTAAAAATATCACCAGAAACCAGAAACCTTAGAGGGGAGTTTTCACCGTTGAGTATGCATAATTTTAATCAGTGCACAAAAGAAGCTTTATCTGCTTTTCCCCCCACAATCAGAATACTTACTGTTACATTTCATGAAGACTGAGTAACAACTGAAGCTGTTAAACACACATTTTACAAGTGGAAAAGCATATAACAATGTTACAACAATGTTGGAGATGATATTTATCAGTAAAACCTGCAAATGCTTATCTACTTCGGAGACAGATAGCCATGCACTTAAATGACAAAACATTTAAAAAAATTTACTTTTACATTTTTCTTAAAACACTTGAATGTACTATCCTCAGCTCTGAATGAAAATATCAATTAGGCCTAGCATTTCAAAAATAATTCAGCAACTAAAAGGTTAAATGTTAAAATGAAGAATTTTACTGTGTCAGTTGGATAAAAAGTACTGCTCAGCTTATAATATAAAGCATGAACTCAAAAAGGCCTCTTTGTAGACAAGTGAAGAGCAAAACAT